TGTTCTGATCCTAGAATTATCCCCTTTACTAGCATATACCAAACTCCCACCCCACAGTCCCTTAGCTGTGCCTTCAATTTGTGGTTCTGTAAATAGTGTCCCCTGGTGATATGTGAATCTATCCACTAAATCCTCCCTAAATACAGGGGACTTGGCCCTTTACAGGGGCTTTGGCCAGGGGTGTGGCTCTTCTCACAGTCTGAGGTGTTCAGTCAGCTGGCCTCCCAAATCCTACCCTTGGTTCTGGTCATATGCAATTCCCAGTGTTAGGTGAGAAGGGGTGATGATGGACAGGGAGACACAAAGCCTCCTATACTATACCAGTCCCAGAGACGCAGAGCCCCAGATGATGGCCCAGGGCCATATATGCCATTATTGCCTGAGCCTTTGGCACCATTGATACTTTAGTCCCCATTCACTACATTTCACTCCTCTTTGGAAGCACTAATCACAATCATAACTCCACTATTATCTGTTAAAATCATTCATGTAAGGTCTGTTTCCACACTAGACTATGAGCTCCGTGAGGACAGGAACCAAATCTGCTGATTCACCACAAAACCACAGTTCCTTTCAAAGTGCCCAGCTCACAGATGCTGAGTGAGCTGACTATACAGAGGAAATAACATTCATCGACAATAATTTTACCCAAAACACTTTGCAGTACAACACTTATACGCTTACTGTATCACCTGATCCTCTAACAAACTGGAGGGTAAAGGTCTTCATGTGCTGGAGCTGGCTCGTACCAGCTTGCTAGAGCTAACTGTTAAACATTCTTGACTTTTTTGCAAGCCAGTTGTTAAACCATTAGTAACGTGATTGAACATGGTGGGGATATTTATATCCTGGAGATCAACAAAGACTACAAATAAGAGGTTTTCTTTTACAAAGAGCAGGTTTATCATCAAAGCACTGGTAGTAGGTGTGTTAAAAAATGTTCTGTAAATGAATAGATGGGCATAACTTTAAATATGGTGCCTCTGAGTTTCAGGAAGATGAAGTGAGACTTTCAAGGTCTCTGACCCTTGCTATAGTGAGATGCTGGCTTCATGCATTTACTCATTTCATCAGGCATTTTTGAAGTGCCAATAATGTGCCAGGAACTTCCTGCCATGGCAAAATGTGATGGGGAAATTAGTAGTTAAGACCAAGGAGCTCCTCAAGAGAGATCCTCTCAATCAGCAGTGATGGTGCCTACCCCAGGAGGTGGGCCCTACTCAGACCCCAGAAACATGACTGGATCAGGACCTGATACATCATGTGGGGTCTGAGAGGGGTCCTGCTGTCACAGACCTAGCCATTCGGTGTGTACAGATGGCCCACGGTGTTTACCCTCTGTCCAGGGCTCCTTCCACAGAACCTGCAGATCCTCTGCCCAAAGCAGCCTCACTGAGCTTCCCAAGGGAACAGCAGTCAAATCTAGACCTCAGCTCACCACCAGAGGCCCCTCTGACAGGGCTAGTTCCTGCTCTCCTTGCACACCCTTAAAAGCTATTGGGATTATACCATGAATAAAGAATAGTCAGAGGCTCCAATGGAAACCACATGGACACTACCCCTAACTGTATGGATCCTGCTATGGGTTGAACTATGTGTCCATCCCCCAATTCATATGTTGAAATCCCAACCCCCAGTGTCTCCGAATGTAACATCTACAAACCCTATATTCAGAATGTCTCAGAATATAGGGTTTGTGGATGTAATTAGTTAGTTAACTTAGGATGAGGTTAAACTAGAGTAGGGTGGGCTCCTAACATAACCATACCAGTCCCCATAAAAAAAGGGGAAACCTGGACACAAGATGCCCACAGGGAGAATGCCATGAAAGATGAAAAACCAAGGAATATCAAAGATTGCCAGCAGTTAGGGGAGAGGCATGGATCAGATCCTTCCCTCATAGTCCTCAAAGGAACCAGCCCTACTGATAACCTTGACCTTAGTCTTCTAGCCTCCAGAACTATGAGACAAGAAATTTTGTTATGAAGTCACTCAGCTGGTGGTACAGCAGCCAGAGAAAACTAACCCAGGTCCCTTACTTTGCAACTCTCTAAACTGGGCGGTACTACATTAGAGTTTGGGTGACTAATAGGGATGTTAAAGACAGACAAGAGTTAGAGCTCCACGCTGGAGCCAGGTGTGGAATCTAGCAGAAGAGGGGCTGCACTTGGGGTCAGGGCAGAATGACCCTGCCTGAGTGCTGGGGACTGTTACATTCTGCCTGTGAACCCTCCAGTTCTGCGGGACTCACACAGTTGGCTATAGACACCATCTGGAATCACCAGGGTCAGGGACAGAATACCAGCCAGCTGCTCCATCACCAGCGCAGTGGCCTCAAGTTTGCACATGTGATCACACTCCAGAGGCTAGATGCCTACTGGCAGCCCCGCAAGGAAGGTGCCATGATGACAGGGACATGGAAGCATGTGGAGGGAGCTGGGTGGCCAGTGGAATATGCCACTGGCACTTCATCAACCTCCGACGCCTGCAGGATTCCCAGTAACTTATTTTCCTCTATTAAAAGGAAAAGTGTTTTCGGCAAACCCACAAAGTGGGAAATTTGATTCAGGAAAGAGATGGGTCAAATATGGCTTCCTGGCCTTAGATCCTTGATACAGAGTCCTCATGAACTGTGCACTGATTTAGAGAGGGTTTGCCTTTAACCAACCCTGGATGTTACCAGGCTAACTCAAGGCACAGAGAAGACATTGACCAAATACAGGTCTCCTTTTCTTTGCTTTTTTTTGGCTTTTTTTCCAACAAGTAACTTCTTATCTGAGGTGGTGCTGAGAGGGCTAACTCCCTGGACTCCACGAGACTGGCATTGTCCAGCTCTTGGTCCAATTCCAGGTACTCCTAGTTTTGTCTCTCTGGGCTGAAGTGACGGCCCTTGCGGACCTGGAAAGTGTGGGTGTCAATCCTTGGAATCTACTTCTGACTCTTTCCTGCCTGGCTAGCACCTGGCCAGCTAGCTGGGCATTCACCTTGTTCCCATCCTTCCATACAACCACATGCTATATGAGCACACACTCCACTAAGGAAGACTGTGACCTAAAGGTCGAACAGGAGGAGAAATCCTTATGCTATGAGGAGGTACAAGCTTTCTGCTCTAGCTCTTTAAAGACCACTGCAATTCTCCTGCAGAGGAGCAATGCAGCTCTGGAGAAGTATGGCATAGTGGGCCTCAATGTCTATGATGACAGCAGATCCTGAAATCACCAGGGCAGTAGAGTTTTAATTATTCTCTCGCAAAGTCCCCATATGTACCTATTGCCCATCCAACCACATGTTCCTGATTCTCAGTTTAGAAAATAAGATCTAACCAGCTACCCCTGGTGGGGAGCTTATGTCCCAGAGGGTGTCTCTAGAATCTCACAAGCCCATGGAGGGCAGAGCAATTGCATCGACCCCTCCCTTGTCTAGAGGTCAAAAGCTGGAGGGGAGCCACGGAGCACCATCATAGTGGATAAGGAAGGTCTCCCCCTAAGTTTCCTTCCCTCAACCGGCTGCTCTTTTAAGCTGGACACTGCAAACGCTCAGCTGTTCTGCTTGCAGTCTGGAGCTCTGGTGCTCTCCTATAGATGATGTTCTTCCTTCTGGATTATCTGTTTCCTTCAGTGGGGAAGTCTGCCACGGCCTGTGATTTGTGCCACTTTTGTTTGCAGGCCATCAATTCTCCTTGCCTCACAAAGAGTATTTTATCTCTTTCTCTCCTAGCCTGAGTTCCTAAGAGCGAACAAGTGAGGGACACGCCGGCCTCTCATGACTTATGTGAAATCAGAGTGAGTTCTTACCACGGTGAGTCCTTAGTGCTTCCATCTTCTCCCTCCTGTATCATCTTCCCTCTTCTGCCTACACACTGAGCTGGTTTTTTTCAAAGTTATGGAAGTCACGAGTGATAGGTCTTCATGTATATTTTGTCAAATAACCGTAGATATTCTCCTCCTTCTCTCTCTCTCTCTCCCCACTCCCTCAGCTCTTCCTCTTCCTCTACACACGCGTGCATTTTCCTCTGAATGAGTGTACATGCGTGTACATAGTCACATATGTATAGACACACTTGGGTCATCGTCGTTATTCATGGTTTATACCTATGATTATATGTCTACTTGTATTTGTAATTGTCATCTCTGAGGAAGCATCCTATGTAACTATATGCGCTGTCGATAAATGCAGGGAACAACAGAATTGTCCAATTTTGGTGTGTTTATATGGAGAGAATGGCTGTTAAAAATATCCATTCTGTAACAAAAAGATAAACCTGATTTCTAGCCATTCAACCTTGTAATAGGTTAAATGATAACAAACCATTCATTGATTTTTTTTTTTTTAAAGAGTAATAAACAGAAACATGTACCAATTGAAAGGGCCAGGCAATTCAGTTATAATTAGGAAAACAAAAACTGATGAGCCTGAACAATGCTGCCTTGGTTTTGGGGTAAGTATTGAAAATGCCAACTACATAACAATGCAGTGTTTGTTTTCTCATTATTAAAGGCACCAACACTATCACCTCATTTGTGAAAGCCAAACCCAGTTGAAAGAAATACAAAGCTCAGAGGATAGGTTTGATAGACATATTTAAAAAATACCCACATAAACACAGACCTAAATATAATGAAAATATATAGCAGAAGAATATTTGAGTAAATTTATATTCACCACTCTACTGATTAATGTACCAGTCCATTCATCCATTCATCTGTCTGTCCGTCTGTCTGTCCATCCATCCATCCACCCACCCATCCATCCATCCATCCATCCATCCATCCATTCATCCATTCACTGATTCAACAAATATGTTTTGAGCTCTTACTATGCTTTAGGAACTATGTTATATAATATATACTGCAAGTATATATTAATACCTAGATTCAAATGACTCCAGTGAAAATAACAATTCTTTTTTATTTTTAGTAATTATTGGCTCAACTTTCCCTGTGTGGCTAGAAGAAGAAATACTTAAACAGCTGAACACAGACAATGATATGCCAACATACCTTTTGTAGCCAGGCGAACGCAGTTGATTTTGGTTTCCTGTGAACAACAAAAGTGAGGTTCCAGTTAATTAGTTGCAGGTTTGATTTGTTATATAAAGAAAAAACATACATATGTATTTTTAATTATAATTTTAAATCTGTCCTTTCCATTTCTTCCCCCATTGGAATCACCTTTTAATTCTATTTCTTCATTTCTTTTCAGGCTAGGCACATACTTGGTTCCTTTCACTTCCTGGCTCCCATCACCTCATAAACTTCTTCCCCAGACAGAACCACTTATAAACATATCAGATACTGCTACTGCATAGCACAGGACAACTTTAACAATGACACTAAGTAAGTAGACTGTGGCATGAGTTAGTAGATGGCACCAGGACCATCCTTGGGAAACTATAAATAAATAATGCATCTATCCGCACAGGCTGAAATAGACCCTTGGCAATAGCTCAGTCAATAGGAACGTGTAAGAATCAAACTACAAAGTTCATGTTCAAAAAGTCACTTTGGTCCCCAGATCTTTGGTGAACCTCATGGTTTTCATGGATAATGTTGTATGTGTGTGCTCGTGTGGCAATCAAATCTTTGCTGGGTACACTAATTATTGTTGGCTGTTCCCCAAGTGGACAAAATCCATAAACTTGTGATGTTACTGGGCATGCAGTTGAGTTACAGAAGACTGTGTTTAGAAAGAGAATCATTTTAGCCTGCTTTATTGGGATCATCTCCCAGGAGGCCCTGGAACCAGTTAAAAATTCCAGTTTACTAAGCTATACCTCCAGCAACAGTCTGAATGTAGTGTAGCAATGAAAATAAAAGGCAAAGAATGCAAGTGAGTCTCAAGAATCAAACGTGTGTCCCGCTACTGCTCAGTCATAAGAAATCACGGCATCTTGAAGGCACCTGTGTTAGTCAGGTCTTTGAGGGTTCCTGGACCCAATTCTGTTGTGTGTGTGGGGGGGTGGGGGTGGGGGGTGGTTCCTCCCCTTCTATAACACCAAGCAATCTTCAGACACTGGCAAGGTATCTGGGAATTCAACTCAGTTCTGACACAGTCTACCTGGAGATGGCATCAGATTCCACAGGTTAAAGGCTCAGTTCTACAAGACTGTCCCCCACACCCTACTTCAGATGCCAGGTGCAAGCCTCAGGCTGTTACCTGTGCTTCTGACCTACCAGCTACAGATTGAAGGTTCCAGTGATCTCCTCCTTAGGTTTGATTAATTTGCTAGAGCAGCTCACAGAACTCAAAGAAACATGTTAGTAGAGCACCAGTTTATTGTAAAGGGGTGTAACTCAGGGGCAGTCAGATAGAAGAGATGTATAGGGTGAGGTATGTGGGGAGGGGTGCAGAACCTCCATGCCTTTTCCAGAAGTGCTACTCTCCCAATCTTCATGTGATCACCTACCCAGAAGCTCTCTAAACCCAGTCCTTCTGGATTTTTATGGGGGCTTCACTGCATAGTCATTATTGACTTAGTCATTGGTTACTGGCTGATTCAACCTCCAGCCCCTCACCTCTCCCCAGAGGTCCAGTAGGCTGGGGGTGGGGTGGGACTGTGGGACTATGGGACTGAATGTTCTAACCCTCTAATCAGAAGTTGATCCTCCTGGCAACCAGTTCCCTCCTTGGGTGGGGTCCAAAAGTCACCCTCATTAACATAACAAAAGACACCTTTATCACCATTGACACTTAGGAAATTCCAAGGACTGAGGAAACTGTGAGCTAGAAACCAGGGACAAAGACCAAATACACATGAGAAATATATTTTTTGTCATTCAGAAATCACAATCTAAGAAATCACAATATTGCATCAGGGTTATGCAGAAGTATAAAACCCATGAACTTCAGTGGCTAAAAACACTAAAGGTGTATTTCCCACTTAAACCAACATGTCCAATGTAGGTGCATGACTAGGTCTGAAGTGGGGTTGCGGTGGTGGTTGGGGGATACTGTAATCACTGTAGGTCCTCAGAGACCAAGGCTGGTACATTTATTTTTTAATTTTTAAATTAAGAAAAATTTTATTTAAATTCAATTTAGTTAACATATATTATTAGTTTCAGAGATAAAATTTAGTGATTCATCAGTTGCATAAACACCCAGTACTCATTATATCAAGTGCCCTTCTTAATGCCCATCACCCATTTACCCCATTCCCCCACCCACTTCCCCTCTAGCACCCTCAGTTTGTTTCCTATAGTTAAGAGTCTCTTATGGTTTTTATCTTATTTTATTTCTCTTTCCTTTCCCCTCTGTTCATCTGTTGTGTTTCTTAAATTCCACAGGAGTGAAATCATGTGGTATTTGTCTTTCTCTGACTGACTTATTTCACTGAGCATAATACCCTATAGTTCCATCCACATCATTGCAAATGGCAAGACTTCGTTCTTTTTGATGGCTGAATAATATTCCATTGTATGTGTGTGTACGTACACACACATATATATATACACCACATCTTCTTAATCCATTCATCTGTTGAATGAATGTTGGCTATTGTGGACATTGCTACTATAAACACTGGGGTGCATGTGCCCCTTCAAATCACTATTTTTGTATCCTTTGGATAAATATCTAGTAGTGCAATTGCTGGGTCATAGGGTAGTTCTATTTTTAACTTTTTAGGAATCTCCATACTGTTCTCCAGAGTGGCTGCACCAGTTTGCATTCCCACCAACAGTGTAAGAGGGCTCCCCTTTCTCAGCATGCTCACCAACATCTGTTGTTTCCTGAGTTGTTAATTTTAGCCATTCGGACTGGGGTAAGGTGATATCTCCTTATGGTTTTGATTTGTATTTCCCTGATGCTGAGTAATGTTGAGCATTTTTCATGTGTCTGTTAGCTATTTGTATGTCTTCTTTGGAGAAATGTCTGCTCATGTCTACCTCCATTTTAACACAAGCCTGCACTGTTCACTGAGGCAGGAGAAAAGAATGCTGGAGTTGGGAACTCACAATCAAATACTTTGTATCAGAAGCTACAGTTACTTGACTCAAGTTTCATTGACTAGAACCAGTCATATGGCCATGCCTAACTTAAGTGAGGTAGGGAAATGGAGTCTTCCATGCACCCAGAAGTAGAGAAGAAATCATAATGTCTATAGCAGAGTCTATTTTCTCTAGGCACACCTCTGAATGCTAGAAACTGTCTCTTGAAGTATGACTCCCCAGTGGTCTTGATTCTGTTCCTCACACCACAGAAAGTCCTCCCTTGCTTGTGTACAAAAGATGTCTGGATATTGAAAGATGGTTCTCATTTCTATTAATGTTCTTCAACCATTCCTCAGATGATAAGAGTTCAAGTCCTTTGAACCAATATTGCTACTCATCCTGGGGCATCTTGCAGTTTCATCCCTTATTGAGAAGGAACTAGAATAGGAAGCAGCAGTCTACATGTGGTCTTGTCAATATATGATTACCTAGATTATCACTATTTTCTATTTTCCTTAGTTATATGGGCTTCTATTAACATAGCCAACATCTCAGTTTTTCATTGATCACAATGAATGTGCCATCAACCTTCCCCCTACCAAAAAAAAAAAAAAAAAAAAAAAATCTGCCTGCTTCTACATACATAAATGTGGTTGTATTTCTGGAATCCAAGTAGAGAGTCATATACTGATTTCCCCTATTGACTTCCATCTTCTTTGATCTGGTTGCTACAGCCTGTCATCATATTCTCCACCATACATAAGTTTTTGGACATAGTTCTCTATAATTTTATCCAGATCATTAATATAGGTGGTAACCTGGAAAATGCCATTGATAAAGATTTGTGACATGTACTAGAATCCGCCTTCCAGGTTGGCATTCATTGCTCATCAGAATTTTTGGATGGTTATCTAACTACTTATTTCCTCAACTGCTTATGCACTTGGATCCTCCTGCTGTGTTTTCCCACCAACATAGCTTGAGGATAGGGTCAAACTCACTTCAGATACTCAGACTCTGTCTACTTCATTTCCCCACTCTATCAGTCTAAGAACTCTCTCAAAGAAAGAAGGTTGGGTTGACATGACTTGTTCTTTAGGACAAGTGTTTCCCTTCCTTTCATTTTTTAATGCTGAAAGTGCTCTTTTTTAAAATAAACAATTACTTTATTAAACAACTGGAAAATGCAGAAATGTTAAAAGAATATCACACACTATGATTCAAATATAGGAAGTATTCATTTGAGGTGTTCATATATTTCAAGTAAGCTATATTTCAAGAAAAAGGTTTTTTTTTAAAAGAGTATATCCAGAAGAAAGAAGGAAAAATTATGAATAAAAAATAGAAAAATAAAGTGGAACTTTCTAAATGTGATGCCAAAAAGCTTCAGTCACAAATGAGGTAAAACTTGAAAATGATGATAAAAGTGAGCCAATGAATTCTTTTATTTTCATGTTTGGAGAAAGAGCAGATGTCCAACTCCTGTTGGCTTCCATTTCTGTTCTCTGGCTTAAAGGGTCAGTGAGCTGAAGCCTGAGATGGTTACAGAGAGTATGAGCTCCTGAGGACGGAAGGCGGTCTGCATATGGCTATGTAGCACCATAACAACCAACACCGAGAAACCCTGGAGAGTGGAGCTATGCCACTAGGAATGGTCAGAAGGATTGCCAACTTTATATTAATACAACGAAAAGGATTTTGCAAGAACTGTATTAGGAAACTTGCCAATTACATGCAAGATTATTACATACAGGAATGGGCAAGGGTTTGATGAGGATTTCACTGCTGGAGGTAATTTGTAAATATGTACCTAGACTTCAAAGAGAGTTGATCTAATCTTTTCACATCTCAGATTCTATTCTCAGGATGTCTTGGTGGCTTAGTTGGTTAAGCATCTGACTTTTGGTTTTGGCTCAGGTCATGATCTCATGTGTTGTGGGATCAAGCCCCACATCAGGCTCCGTACTCAGTGGGGAGTCTGCTTGGGATTCTCTCTCTCTCCCTCCCACTGCCCCTCCCCTGCTTGTGTGCATATGCATACACGTTTTCTCTAATAAATAAATAAATCTTTTAAAAAAAAGGATCTATTCTCAGGGACTAATCTGA